CACACACACACACACACACACACACACACACACACACACACGCACGCACGCACGCACACGCACACACGCACACACACAGATATAATAAAAGGATTTTTTAAAGTGTATCACCTGATTTGCGTAAAGGCAAAGTCACCTGTGGGTCATGCTTTTTAACTTCACAGTCTGCACTTCTAATGCAATTTAAAAAATAAACCGTCTGCCCGATCCGCCACAGAGGACTGGCTTTCAAGGGGATTTCAGAAGGCGTGGAAGTGGCTGCCTGGCCCGTGGGCTCTGCTGTGGCTGCCCTGCTGGCATGGCATGAGGTGCCAGGAGTCCTGTGAGCTGCTGTGAGATGGCTCCCCTGTTCTCTTGTCCGTTTAGAGCAGCAGGCGCTCCTGCTTTCTGGAGAGAAGACGCTCAGCCACACCTTCAGGTGGAGGCCGCACTGATGAGAGCCTGTTCCCTCAGGAGCTTCTGCTTGCTTCTTCCTCCCCGCCCCCAACCAACCACACCTCCCCACTTCTTTCTTTTCTGTCCAAGTCGTTTAAAAAACAACAAAAGCCAAAGACACCCCCCCCCCAAAAAAAAGACCCAAATAATGGAACTAGAATCAGTGTGCGAGATTGCCTGGTACAGAACAGGAGGAGGCAGAGGGTCGCAGCTACCTAAGTGACATTTTCAGGGAGGGGCCCTTCTTCCTCCGGCAGCTACATCACGTAGTGCAATCATCTTGCAGTTAGTGGGCACCCCACTTCTCCATGGAAGGTTTTTCTGGCAGATCCTGGCACTGGAGAAGGGGGAGAAATATTAGAAAACTCTCTGCTGGGGACCCAGACAAGTAGTTCATAAATACTTGCAAAAAGGTATGCATGTAAAGTCTTCAAAATCCCATATAAACACCTTGCTTTCGAAGTAACAATTTTGTTACTTATTAGTTACCTTGCGTGTGTGTGTGTGTGTGTGTGTGTGTGTGTGTGTGTGTGTGTGTGCGCACGCGCGGTACTCAAAGATTGTCAGCCACAGTATGTTCTGTATCAGAAACTCCAGTCTCATAGATGGCAAGCAAGTTTCGACATGGTGTCTTGCTTCCCACTGGACGGAAGCTAACCAGTCAGAAGTGTGCTATGTGAGTAGTGGTAGCAGTGTTCTGGAGACGTGGGCATGTGTGAGTGTGAGGTGACAGGGACAGGCCTAATGTCTTGCCTGATGATATCACGTGACTCGGGTTCCAGACTTGATATAACAGAGCTAGGGGAGAGGCTGGGTGGGAAGGGGGTGTGCTCGTCCTAAAAGGCATCTGGAAATTATCACATTTTGCATCAATAAGTGCTCCTTGGGCTCAGTTACCAGTGTAAGCCCCAGATGAAGAAGGGCAAAGCGGAGTCTCGGCGTTCACCCGCGAGAGTTCTTTTTAATTTATATTGGCAAAAGGAACGAGTGGCTGATAGGTCTGAACTGAGTGCTTTGATGTGTTGCACGTGACACAGGACCACAGGGCAGAGAAACCCGAGTGTGAGTTCTGCTCCAGCCGCCAGACTCCGAGTGGGGTTTATGCAGCGGCAGGGCTGCTCCCCTTTAGAAGGGGAACGGAGTTGAAATGCTTACATTCAATGCATTGGTCAGAGTGTGAATCATGAGCTGGACTGCTGCGGCCTCACTTACCTTTCCTCTCTCCCCCCTTTCTTTTTGGTTTAGTGGCACGCCCTCTCCCGGGAAGAGCAGGCCAAATATTATGAATTAGCACGGAAAGAGAGACAGCTACATATGCAGCTTTATCCAGGCTGGTCAGCAAGAGACAATTATGTAAGCCCTTTGTCTGTCCCCGTGGCTTTCCGCCCCCCACCCCCACCCTGCCTTGCTCTCTCTCTGTCTCTCAAGGGGGATGTCTGGAGGATGCATGGTGTTGGCACTGTTTCTTGTTTTGGGAAATTAACGAACTGTGTAATAAAGATTTCATGAGTACGTTGGGTTCTGAAAACTTTAAGCTTTTCTTTTGTTCCTGTGAGTACTAATTTATTTGTAAAATAAAGCTCTTTTAAAGATCAAAACATAAAACCCCTTATCATCAAAATACCAGAAAGAGATGTAAAACAAACAAACAAAAAACCCTATAATTTCACCATGTAAAGGCAAGATTAGTGGTAACTATATTCCCTTCTGGTGTGTTTTCTGTGTGTCTTTAGTTTCACACATAGGTAAAATGTAAGTGTGTATATACGTATATTTTATGACATGTTCCCTGTTCTTATATAAAAATGCATCTTTCTTTTATGAAATCATGTTTATGTCCATATTCCATTAAGTAAGCGTCTCTGTTTCCTGGTTTTTCCTGATTTTATAATTTCTTTTCTTTCTTTCTTTCTTCCTTTTTTTCTCTCCTTTCTGAGTTACACAATCCACCCTGCTGTGGATATGTCCGGGAATAAGAGAGTGTTTTTTCCTGTGCACAGACCATTATTTTTGCAGGCTAGATTCATAGTGGCAGGGTTTTGAGAAAGAGGATATAAACATTTTAAAGTACTTGACGCATGTTGTCAGATTTCCTTCCAGGTGATGATTATTTTATAAATCTTACACCATATTTTAGTGACTGTTTTGACACAAGATTAGAACTATGTAATTTTTTTGAATCTCATATTAATGTACCCTGACATCTTCTATGTACTTGAGTAAAGACGGAGTAGGGATTGGCATGTTCTAGGTTTTTTTATTATATAAAATTATACCACAATCTATAATTTTATTGTCAAGAACTACCTCACTTACACTGCCAGCTCTTACTGCTGAAGAGTTTGGACATCTTACTGACGTTTCCTTGCTATAGTGAAGACTATTACATAGAAAGTATATTATGAATGATATATTTGAGATTTTGTCACTTTTATGTAAAGTAACAATTTTGATGGTTTAGATTCTTGAAATAAGAGAATATTTTGAACATCATTTTTAGCTCAGCTCAGACAGCTACAGCAGAACACCATAGCCTAGGTGGCTCATAAAAGCAAGAATATATTGCTCACTCCTCTGGAGGCTGAAATATCTGAGACCAAGGGCACCAGTAGGTTGGGTGTCTGAGGGCCACCCCCAAGCACTTGGCTGTGCCCTTTCCCCGAGGATTAGTCCTATTCTAATGTCTGGGCCCCAGTCAGCACCTCCCAAAGGCTCCACCTTCTTCCATCACATTCTCGGGGGCCAGGAGGTATTAAGATTTCAGTGCGGAAGTTGGAGGGAACACATAAGTGTATAACAGGAGACCAGCAGCAGGAATGCCCTTTAGGGCAGTCTTCATATAGAACTGTCTCTTCAACCACACATGGGAAGCCATGAATCGGTGTACAGTTTAATGATGATGGCCTTTGCTGTAGAAGCTCCAGTTCCCATAGAGACGGTGACAACCGAATGTGTCTAAAGTCACGTGTCCCATATTAGACATTGCAGCATTTGGAACATATGTATCTTTCTAAGAATGGGTTGAACCACCCCCCCCCATAATTTGCTTCACGACAATGCTGCTTTACTGTTCAGAATTCTGAGTGTAGACATCAGAAATAACTTTGACACAGGAAATAAGGGTCCTGTGGGCAACTGCTTGGAAGCAAGGGCACAGTCATCTCCCAAGTTGTTGTTTGGTTGTTTTAATAACTACCATCTGCTGACATGCTACTTTCCAATCCTTAACAACCGTCCAATGGCGTCAGCATCATTCCTCTGCTTCTCGGGGCTGCGAGGTCAGGGAGGTTTGGTAATTCGTCCACAGCAGCGGAGTAGGTGACTGAACTGCAATTTAAACCCACATCGGCTTGACCGGAGTTGCTGCATAGCTTCCCTCCTGAGGACGAGCTCCGTGCTCTGTTCCCTGAGCAGTAACTAGCATCTGCCTGTATGGAGCCTTTGCTGTGCCCTGTAAGGGGGAAGATAAGTTGCCACAAAGGGGCACATGCGTGTCTTCTCACCCTGTCCTGCATGCCCTTTGGCTGTGGCTTACCTGGGAGGGGACCAATGACCTTTACCCTCTGACCCCATTACAAGAGCTTTACCGAGCTGGAAGTTTGCACATACTGAGCATTGCTCGATGACTGTCTTGAAAAGCTTTCTCCTAGATAAGTTTTAGCATTTGGAAATAGGTAAAGAACATACACATGTGCTCCCCTTCTCCTCCGTCCTGATGTTTCCTCTGCTCCCCCTTCATGGGAAAAGAGAGTAGTTTTGAAGAAAGCTGCTGGGTTATGAGTTTGTCTTTAAAGATTTTACCCTCCATGACTGTTAAAGGAAATTGTTTTCATGTGCCTTGCTTGAATGAAGGGAAAACCCAGCTTCATTCACACTATTTGTTTAACAGTCCCATCAATGGCGAAGGCAAAGCAGAGGCGTGTGAGAGCACCCTCGCAAACAATACATTATAAATATATTTCACAGGAGTGTGTGTATATATATATTATATATGACATATACGATATATAACATATATGTAATATGCAGGAATATAACATCAGGAGCAGCCTGTACAGTGAGGATGCCTCCTGGTCCTCTTGAGATCATGAAACGTACATCTGGGTTTAGTGTAAAATGTTCCTCTCGGTGGCATCAGTGATTTTTACAATTGAACTACCACAATTGAACTTCCATAATTTGGGATAATAAATGAAGTTTTTGTAAATCAACAGCACATAGATTTTTCTCGAGTGAGGTTATCCTGCCTCCCAGAATCACATAGTCTGTAATTTTGACAAAAAGTATTTTATCGTGCATGAATTAGTTAATATGTCCAAACCGGCCCCTCTTTGCCTGCCACAAATTCTATGTAGGGTCTGTCACCTCACGCATTTACACCTACACTGCCACACAAGCGGTAGGTGCAGTGATGCTCAGAGCGTTACACATTGGCTGCCTGCCTGCAAGGCGGAGGGTGGGGAGAGGCTTAGGGCACCACCGGTGAAGAGATGAGCTGGGGCCCTGGGCTCGGGCTCGTGGGGGAATCTGCTCAGCAGAACAGCCCCGGCTCTGTCTCAGGAAGAGAGATGAGGCGTGGAACAGAGAAAGTTCTTGAAAGAGACGACGCTTGAGACCCACGCAGGTGGGGAGCAGGAGAGGAAAGTGCAGAAGGTTTCTAACACAGCCTCCCAGGAACACTCCAAAACTTGGAGAACTCTGTTGGAATGGAGGATGGTGGTAACCGCGGGAAGCACGCTCCCTTTCCCTGGGGCACTTCTGGTCACACCAAAGACGATGTTCTCTTTGGGCCGTTTTTCTGGGTACCTGATCCAGGCTTGCCCGCCTTAGTGTTTAGGGAGAGAGTTCCCGTCAACTTCATAAAACTTTAAGGCCTCACTCAGTGACTATGTGACAGGAAGAAGAACTTTGAGGTGCATAAGTACACGCATACTTTTAGAGAGTGACAAGACATGCTCAGCAGAATCCGACAGGCTTGTTTGGTTGCTGTTGCTCATGGCTGCCATCATTCCAGAGGTGCTGGCTATGGTGGAGGTACACTGGCCAGCTGAAAACACCTGCCGCAGGTTAGCCACCTATGAACCGTGTAAGCGGGCTGTGGCCGGGCCTTGTTGCCGCGGAAGTAGTTTCCAAGAGAAGTGAAAATTTTAAGCCAATGTGACCAAATTTTTTTAGTTTGTCATGGAGATGTGTTTGAAATGTACTTAAAATTGCTCCTGTATCGGAGTCACGTCTGTCTGGAGAAGCAGAGGCCTCGGTTCCCAGGTTCCACTTCTTCCTCTTCTACCCTTCCTCCCTGGTTACATCATGCTTCCGCTGCAGGGGTCTGGGCACTCAGTTGACACTGTGGACATAAACCATGCAGTGCACTTCACAGCAGGGTCACCGTGGGCACCCCCTGAGGTGCGTTCTGAGCACGGCAGTCAGGAAGAGGGGTACCCACAGAGGCAGGAAGGTAGGAATCACACGTATGCACACAGCCGGTGCGGGAAGTCAGTCCCTCTCTGTGTCTCCCTGGCTGGCCACCTTCTTTTGTACAGAGCACACCTGCATGCCTACCCTCCACTCTGTCCTGACATTGTGCCTCTGTCCTTCAGGGCAAGAAGAAGAAGAGGAAGAGAGAGAAGCTACAGGAATCGACTTCAGGTAGGTACCGCGGGGCTCTGTGTTGGCACGTCTGCTTCTGCCAGAATCCCTGTCAATAGTCCGCATCCTCCTAGACGCTGCCTCATTCTGTGATTGTCACCTGGGGTGCCCTCACTCCGCTTTCTCTCCTGAGCTTCCTTAACATTTCAGGAAGACTTTGAAATGTGAAGGTGCCTCTAAAAACTCCTTCCCCATCCCTGAACCCCGGAGTCCGAGTTAGGAGCTGTGGTTGAGTCCCTGCCCCGTTCTGTTGTCTGTGTCCTCTGCTTCCGCCTCCGCTCTGTCTGCGTGGTCCTTAAAGACAACCTTTTGTGATGACGTACGACATGCCACCTTGAGTTCCCTTGAGAGTCCTTCATGCCTCTTGAGATCTTAGTACCACACATCCCAGTGGCGGGGCTGGCGCTGATGCAGGAGTCAGTGAGGTCCCACCCGTGAGTTCCCTTGTCTTTCTGGGAGAAGGCCGCCACAGGGGCCGCACAAACAGAAAAGCTGCTAGGAGCGAGAACCATGAAAAGCAAAGCCAACAGACCCACGCGGTGTCGTAGCTACTACTACATATTTGGAATGTACAGAAACCTCTCCGTAAAAAAATTGTTAAAGACGCAATTTTCTGCAGGTACAGGTCCCCGAATGACAGCTGCCTACATCTGAAACATGGTAAGATCAACTCTCTGGCCCTCCCGCTGATCTAGCTCTAACAAGAGGCTCTTGCTTGTGGGTCTTCCCGCGCTCACCAGCTCCATCCAGCACTGTCCCCGAAAGAGGAAACCGTCCCCCAAACCAGTCTAGCGCTGTTGAAGCCCTCGGGGCTCTTACTCCAGCCCTGTGTTTGCGATAGAGTGTGCTTCTCCTCTCCCCGCCTACTTCTCTGTTCTTCCGCCCTCAACCTTTTCTTCTCGGCTGTTCCTTACTGACCAGCGGAAAATCTGCCCTGAAAAAAAAAAAAAAAAGTAGGCAGCAGCATGTCCCCCCTCCTCAGCCCGCAGGGATGGGTCTGAGGAACACCGCTGTAGCCCACTCAGCCCGGCTACATGGTAAAGACTTGCTTGAAATGACATGTGGACAGTGTGTTTCTAGTGAGGCAGAGTCATGGGCTTTATTTATTTATTTTTCTATTTTAAAATCGCCTGTGGGCACTTAAGTGATTGGTTGATGTCTTCTGTTGAGCGTTTTTCTCTGTTGGTGACCGCTGTTAGACGTCACCCTAGGACTTGTGAGTCAAGCTGAATTCACTTACCTTTGGGATAAGGCTTTGATTTCTAGCCACGTGACCCGGGGAAGCTGGGTCTTGAGTTTGAATTGACGGGGTGTGGCCCTTCCCCACAACGGGTGCCTTCGTTGCTTGCTTGGGTGTTCTTTCTCTAGAACCCATGCAGGTCGTCACCGGTCCGGTTGGGTTCCCTGAAGGTCCCCTTTACCGCCTTGCCTTTCAAGACTGCCCAGCCCCTTCCTTATTCTACTGCTGTGGTCCTAGCCTCTGGGGAGTTGTTGTGGCCGGAGACTTTCCTTCCACGGGTCGTCCGTATTGCCCAGAGGGATTTTCGGACACACAAGTGGGTGATGTCCCCTCTCTGCTCAAAACCAGCCAGCTCTTACTGCCTGAAGGATACGGTCCCGTCACCTGGTGGAGATCCGTCACTGCCCCACCCTGGTGCCCGAGCCTCAGGTCATTTGCTCACAGCGTCTCCTCACCTCCAGACTGGCCCATGTGAGACCCGTGCTCTAGCCAAACAGATCTAGCAGTTCCCCAAGCAGGCGGAGGGCACAGCCTATGCCGCCCCTGTGCTTGGAAAGCCTGCTCGCTCTGCTGGTGTCTAGGCCAATCTGGGCAGCAGTCCTTAGAGGAAGGAGCCTTGGCCTTCAGTGTGGATGCTCTTGACTAAGCCAGGTGACCTCATCCACGCTTCAGAATTTACTTTGGGTCCTGCACATTCAAGTGATGTTTTTCCCCTATGGAAATCTTCCCGTAGCGTCTCTGGCACCAGCTAGATTTAAATCTCCTGTCAGTCGGCCGCCTGGACTCTCCATAGCAGCTTCTTAGTCTTGTTTTCCTCGCCTCACAGTGGGAATGATGCCCACGTGTGTACGCGTGTAATGCACACCTTGTCTTGGGCACAGTAGGAATCAGAAGTCCCCCCCCCCAGCCCTGTCACTTCCTGTCCTGAGGAACTGTCTTGGTCTTCAAGTCTGACTCCCATCTGCTGTCACAGTTGTTCCGGCCTGAGCTAACCTCACCGATTTTAGCCATCTCTGAGTGGCTTCTCCCCCAGCTAAAGCCCATTTCTTCACATGGGGGACACTCCCATCATTTCCGAATGTAACGCCGTCACGGATGGTGGCTACGTACAATGAACTGAGTGACTGTCAATCAAGGTCTCCTGAGCCAGCCACCTCGATTTGTCCTTCAGTGCACAGGGACGATTCAGTCATAGTCTCAGCCCCAAGATACATGTGACTTCCTAGACGACAACCTCGAAAAAAGTATGCGTACACACTTTGTGTTACTTCTGTGTTTTGTCTTTTTAAGACAGGCCTCGTGTAGCCCAGGCAGACCTCCACCTCACTTATATAGCCAAGGCTGACCTTGAACTTTGACCCTCCAGCCTCCACCATCCGAGTGCTGGGGTTACAGGCATGCACCACCATGCCTGGTTTACCTAGCACTGGAGATCAAACCTGGAGCTCATGCATGCCAGGCAGGCACTCTGCCAACTGAGGTATCGCCAGCTCTGTCTTGTTTTATGAACGTAACCTTTTCATTGCTGATCTCTTAGGCATGGTTTGCCGCCCCTTCCATCTCCTGCCCTGGTGCAGAAAGCCCTTAGAAGCACAGGGTGCCGAGGGCTGGCACTCAGTGACGTACAAAATAGTACTTTTGCACCAACAATTTGAGGGCTGCCTACTTCATTCAAAATGCATTGCAGTACTTAAGAGCTGGAACTTGATTGACTTTCCTTTGTGATTAGTGCTCTTTTGATACAAACGCTAAAGCTGAGTCTATTTCTGTCTTAAAATGCACCTCCGATGCCTATTTCTTTAATGAGTCACAGCGACCCTCAGGCCTTCTCATCGCCTCTTTTTCTCTGAAGGTTAAGGGGTCCTTGTTGAATATACAAGAAAAGCAAGACAAAGCCTTGTCTCTGCTCCCCAATTCTCCTCAAGCCGCCCCCCCCCCCAATGCTGGATGAAGCCTGAGTTGTTGCATCCACTGTTTTAGTCCTTCTCACCCCCTGGACGGCTGTGTGGTCTTTGAAATCACACCTCCCACACCTCCGAGGTCTTGGTAGCCATGAGTAGAGAGCAGAAGGGGGCCCAGACTACCGTCCAGAATGAGTCCAATGAATTACGATCGCTGCATTCTCGATGTCCTCCATCCCTGCCTTTGCTGTAGGACTCCAGAAACTTCCCTGCACACGGTGACCGACTTGCTGGTCACCAATGCTTGGTGACTGAGACAGCTTTTGTAAGACCTGGAGATGCCGCATTGCAAGGGACAGCAAAGGTCCCCGCCATCGTGTGCCACCTGTGTGGTTCTGAGCGTGTTTGGCATCCCAGTCTAGCGGGGAAATATAATGATGTAAAGAGGATAAAGTGTTCTCGGCACTCAGGAGAACTCTCCTGGGGAGGTCATTGCTAGTCCCGAGATGTGGGAAGACCTTCCCTTCTGGAAGAGCTGCTCCAGAGAAATAAAAAGCCAGGGGCCGGGCTACCCAGCTCTCAGAACAGGTCCTGTGGGAGCTGTGTGGCATAGGATAGCCCCTCATAGTCTCTGGACTTCAGGCTGCAGCGAGAAGGGGGCCACTCCAAGCTGTGACTCCTTTATCTAACTTCTGGCCTTCACTGCCTCGTGGTGACGAGGGACTCAACAGGGACTCCTTGTACCCCTTCCCTACCTTGCCGTACCCAGAGGGTTTCTGTGTCACAGTTAAGTGCTCGTGTGACTTTGACAGTGACGTGTGCCCGTGCGGTTCTTGGCTTCCTGTGCAGATCACCTTCCAGGCGTCTTCCCCTTCCCAGAGTGGCTTTCTGGCCCCCCATGGTGCTGAGAAGTACTTCTGGTTATGTGGGTTTGGGTTCTCCCGTGGGGTGGGAAGGCCCTGGCTTGCCTGCGCTCACTTCGCCCCAGAAGCCAGCCCAGGAGAGATGAAGGGCCGCACTGGGACCAACTCTTTCTGTAGAGCAGCAACCGTTCTCAACCTGTGGGTCGCAACCCCTCTGACAAACCACTGTCTCCCAAAAGATTTGCGTTAGGATTCATATGGGTAGCAAAATGATAGTTATGAAGTAGCAACGAAATGGTTTCATGGGTAATGATCACCACAGCACGAGGAACTGGACTAAAGGGTCGCGGCATTAGAAAAGGTTCAGAACCGCTGCTCAGAGCGAAGTGAAATCCCACAGCCATTTTTCCTTTCTGAGAGAGCGATGCCAAGGACACTTCAGAGCTTGAAACCCAGGGCCTGCCGGGAAAGGGCAGAGACTCCACGCCAGGAGGCCTCCCTCCTCCAGTGCACTCAGGGAAGCTGCTTCTTCATCTCCTCAGCTCAGGACAGTTAACTGCACATGGCAGACCTGGTGCTGACACGCCAGCACGCGTACACACACACACACACACACACACACACACACACACACCTCGCTTAGTCACACACCACTCATCCCCGCCTCTCACCTCAGCCCCACTTCCTGGGGACCCCCCTTGTTTCCTAGTAGCCCCTCTGAATTTGCAGGATCTTCTTTCTTTTTCTTGGAAAAAAAATACTCTTTTTTTTTTTTTTTTTTTTTAAAGTTAACTCTTTGGGTTAGCATACAAAACAATGAATTTTGTTATGGAACTGTCTTTTAAAGTTGTCTTATTTTTATTGTCAAATTCGCTTACAAAGTATCAGGTTTCCCTGTGGAATTTTAACATTTCTTTCTGCTAGCTGGCCCTCCCCCATCGCCATCACGGATCGCCGTCACTGGCATTTACCAGCATTTCTACATACGGGTGTCATTACGCTTCGATCTGATCTGCCCCCCCCCCCCACTGCTCTCTCCCATGCCCCTTCCCCCTCCGCTGGTCCCCCCCCCCCGCCCCCGATAGTTTTCCTCTCCACTTTCATGCTATCTAAAATGTCTAGCTTCCACATTTGACAGAAAACACACTGGGTCATCTAGGTCTAGATTATTGCCCCTAACATCATCACCTCTGGTTTCTTCCATTTTCCTAATGACTTACTCTTACTCTTCATTTTCAAATGACTGAATTCGTTATTCTTTATAGCTAAATAGTACTCCACTGTGTCTGTCTGTCTACCACATTGTCTTTCTCGAATTCACTTGTTTCCAAACCCCTGGGCTGGTCCTGTAACTTGGCTGTTGTGAACAGATCCTCCGGAATCACGCGTGTGTGGGCATCTGCTGTGCGCTGACTGTGGATGTACACCCAGGAGCCAGGTTATACTGTAGGCCTACTTTGAATTTTTGGAGCAACCACCATATATTGATTTCCATGTGGTTATACTGACTTACATTTCCATCAGCGATATGCAAGAGTTCCTATCCCTCATGCTATGTTATGAGGAGTGTGTGTGCTTACCAGTAGCCATCCTGACTGGGGTGAGGCACACTCAGTAGAGTTGAAATTTGCATTTCCCTGATGGCTAAAGATGTTATTTTCTCCTTTTTTTTTTTCTTTTTTTTTTTTTTTTTTTTTTTTTTTTTTTTTTTTTTTTTTTTTTTTGGTTTTTCGAGACAGGGTTTCTCTGCGTAGATTTGCGCCTTTCCTGGAACTCACTTTGGAGACCAGGCTGGCCTCGAACTCACAGAGATCCGCCTGCCT